TTTTTTTACTTTTTTTGTTCATTTTTATTATTAAGGAAACCATAGGGTCACAGTGACAGAAAGAGGGAGTTAACTACCAAAAATAGAAAAATACCCACTACTGTCTTGCAAGTGCATCAAGTTGTTAAAATGGAGGATGAGTGCCACTTTGGATACATGTCTTTTTTTTATAAAAAAAAATTCTTAATCTAAAAGATACATATGCCTTATTTCTTCCGGTATGCGCTCATTGAGCCCTGTGTCCTGATGATGCCATCACACACACTCTCTCTTTCTTTTTGCTGTACATATATTTAAATCAAACTCGTCAGTTACATTGAATGGACGACTCATGGTTCACGATGACAACAAGTATTTTGCTAATGAATTTTTATTTTCCAACAAGTTGAGCTTGAACACGGCTACAAGTTTTGATAAGCTCTCTTTGCATTCACTCTGCTGCTGGTAAACTGTACATATCAGCGCGGAAGTCTTTTATTGGTGCGCTGGATTAAATAGATACTGAAGCTTTATGCCAATTGGACCCTGGAGATCCTTGTGTTTGAAGAGTGCATAAAATGTGAATAGCGTGATATATATTGAACATGATGGCCGATATTACTCGGCAAATCTATTCCCATTATTCATGCCATTTGGAGTGATCAAATAAGTTCCGAAGATGTGGTATCATCAGGCACTTTCTGAAACACTTTCAAGTAGCGTTGATGTATATTATGTAATCCCTCTATCGTAATCCGGCATCAATGTCAATTAATTTTGTGTCATGTTATGCTACTATTTATAATAGCAGACTTTGATCGTAAGCAATATTGACGTGGCCCATCCCTTCGCAACATTTTTTTTTCTTTTAAAAAAACTCATATTGAGCATATCTCCTAGGCAACAACGAGTGGTTTCTTAGCATCATGTTTATGATAGATGAATTGAATATGCAGGTGTGATGTTGCACTAACCTTAACCTAACCTTAAACTTAAATTTTCCTTATTCAAGTGTAAAACGAGTGCCACATTTTTTACAAAGCCTAGAAGTTGTGTATATTGAGAAAAGTAATTGCTACAATAGGAACAATCGCAATCATAAAGTAACAAATACTACCATTATGCAATCCTTTAGCCTAAATAACCATGTATAATAGCATCCCTTGGAAATTCGGGATGCCTTTTGTGGCCTCCATCTTTATTGTAAAGCACGTCTCCGCAGCTTGTATACTGTTTTCTTCCGAGGAATTCATATCGATTGCCTGATTAAGATAAAATGACCTAAATTAACTTGCTACCAATAGAGCGAAAATTAAGGAAAGTGATCATATTCATTAGTCTGATTTAATCTTGAGAATGGCTGACAAGTAAAATAGTAGATTTCTCCTTACGAAACATAAAGCAATATAGATCCGTTCTTTTACTTTCGAATATAGATCAAAGCTTACAGGGATTATTATTCAAAGCCAAAAGGCTTTATTATAGATCATAAGATCCCATAGCTGATTCATTTAATTCAATGACCTGAGAATGTCACGTGCATAGATGTACTTGTTTCTCCAAATGATGATACATTGATCTCGTTAACATTAGATCTCCCTTGAGACAACTATTCGGAACAAACAGACATTATTGACTGTGTCACCACTTGCAAGACAGTAAAAACTCTAAATCAGATATTGCTTAATACACAAAAGACATTCTTTTGATGCACGTAATACTTCCATTGTAACATTGATTTTGATATAAAAACAATACTAAAATAACTTTATACTAGCAAGAAAAAAGCAACATATTCTATTTTTTTTAAAAAAAAAAAAAAAAAAGAGGGGGAAGGGAAAATTTACCATCCACCTCCGTCGAATCCAGTAAAACCCTACAGATTGTCCTATTAATAACTATAAAAATTACAATGAATGCTTGATTATGCCTACCGCCAATAAGAAAATGGGGAAATATGGTTTCTTTTCAATCTGTGAGCACCCTATTTAAAGCGATCTATAAGTCACAATTGTCAAAACTATCAGTAAAACTTACAGTTCCACGCTGAAGTAAGTCTACCATCAATACAACTTCCTGCGTCATAAAAATTATCCGCGCCAGAGCCATCAAAAGCAAACCGAAAGAAATCAGCTAAAGAGCGATCAGTATGTTCCCCTTATGAGATATGAACATTTACTTACTTAATATTGTCTTTTTACAGAGATCTGTCGTGCCAAACTTTGTTTCTATTAGCCTACGAATTCCTGTATTTTGCGCTAGTTCATCTATTCTGTCCAAGGTGATGCATACAGGATTCAGGATACGCGCTACTTGGTTATACTATTCTCATTTTATCAAGACCTTTCAGCACAGTTTTTTTTTTTTTTTTTTTTTTT